GTCTTTATTTTACAGTTAAAATATATGTTTATCAAATAAAGTCTAATATTACAACTAATCATGGATCCCTTTAAACTTTTACAGCCTTTTTAATTAATCACTGTAAGCTATTGACAATCTGATAAATTTAAACATTAACTTTCAACCTTGATTATCAATTGATAAATTAACTTAGACAATAAGACTGCAAGATGAACTCTTGAACTGTGTTAGTGCCAGAGCTTTAAAAGCTCTGCCCTCTGTTTCTCTCTCAGAACAACAATAATCTGGATCTTTGCTACCGCCTGCTGGCTCAGGAGAGTAACAGATATTTGTATGAAGAGTTTCATCAGAGTCCAGAGGAGCTGCGACTGAGCCAGAACCACATGCTGCACATCACCCCGGGCTACCCAGGTCCAGAGGCAAACCAATCCAATGGAGGGAGAGCTGGATTGGGACGCTTATTAGTGCACAGCACCAGTGACAGTCACATCGATCCTCAGCGACCCAGCTACCCTGAACCACTCTCAGCTCCCGCCACTATGGCTCCCTCACCTGGTTATAATCCATTTTTTATAAATGATCAGAGCCGTTCGGCCAGCACGCCCACCCCTCCTCCTACAATTCAAGGCATGTCCCCCACATACACCCCACGATATACTATGAACCCTATAACGGTCACCCTTTCGCAAAGTATACCTAATGTTCCACAGGCTCTGCAGATTCCTCCAGGGCACTATGCTAACAACACCAACACCAACTTGTACCATCGGCCCTCGCCCTCTCAGAGCCCACAGCCAGCGCCCTGGTCCTCCTCAGGGGCGCCGGTCTATCAGCATCAGCAATCCCCCTACAGCACGCCTACATATGGCTCCCCTTACAGCTCCCCACAACATCAAGTCCAGCCGCAACCTCAGCAGCAACCCCAACCTCAACCTGGGCACCAGCAATACGTCTTCCCAATTAACTCTCCGACCATTCCCAGCATGCCCTACCATCACCAGCAACAACCGCAGCAGCCGCAAGTCGTTTTCCGGCCCTACCACACGAAAAACCCGCTCACAAAGCAGATAGAGATTACCCTTGAAGGTCCACGCCCTCGCAGCAACTCGCCTGTGCACACCCAACACCCCCAGGGTCCACTCTACATGGCCACCAGCCCGTCACCCAGCTCCCCGTCGAGAGGCATTACAATTAGTGGATCTCCAGGACCCGCAGCTTTCCACCCTGTCCTGTACAGGCCGCGGCCCGCCTCCTCTCCTCAACCGGGCCAGTCAGCATACACCTTTAAAATTAAAGTGTCCCCTGGGGGGCAGGCTCAGAGGCCATCGAGCTCGCCCCCTGTTGCAGAAGCGGAGTCTATTCTCAACATGGTAGATCAAGGGGAACACAATGCCACCGCACCCATCCTGCCCATTTCTGCTCTGCCAGGGAACATCGCTAGTCAGTTTCAGCAGCTGCCGCGACGTTCAAGCTCAGGCTCCGATGACTATGCTTACACACAAGGTAAACAAAAACAAAAAATATTGTGTTTAATAAATGCGTATGTGTAACCCGAGTTTTTGGAAATGTGCAAGCACAAGCCCACTAAATGTCATTGTTTGATTTTTAAAATATATTCCTTACTGCTTTTTGTTCACTAATACTCATTTCCTTTTGACTTTGAGACTATAGAGAAAACAAAATGATTTGTTGTTTCATAGTTGGAAAATGCTAAAAAAACGTAAAATATTTTTAGCTTCTAATGTAACCATACATCATCAATAATAGTGAGTCTTAAAACCATTCTTTCTTATTGTTTCTCACACAAGAAGGTCCAACAGTTTTAGAATAAATGTTAATAACTGCTGTTTAATTTCCTGATCATCTTACAGCAATGTTCATGTGATTTGGAGGCGAGAAAACGATTAAGTGGAACAGCTTTTTACTTTTGATGGTTAAACATTTTGCTTTTGTGTCTGGTGTGCATCCCCACAGCGCTTTTGCTCCATCAGCGGGCGAGGATGGAGCGTTTGTTGAAGGAGCTGATGCTGGAGAAACAAAAACTGGAGCAGCTGAAGGCAGATGTCAATAACATGGAATACGAAGCCCTTCAAAGGCGCTTTCGACGAGTCAACGCAACAAATCTTATACCCAAAGTAAGGATGCGTTTAGACCTGCACACACAGCTAGAAACGTACAACAGTAATCTAGTTAGAGGTTTCCCACTTGCTGACAAAAGCGAACGCCACTAGCTGTAATCCTCAAATATAAATATAAAAAATACCGCATGTTGCATTTAATTTCTGTTTGTGTTTTTAAACACACTTTGGGACTTAATCAGCTAAGACAGACAAAATAATTTATATTATTATCACATTATTTTAAAAGGGAAGATGTGGATTAAATATTTCTTTTTTGCTTAAACTAATTGGGTTGCAGCCTGAAGAAATGACCGTACTCCGGAATCAGAACAGACAGCTGCAGATTGATATTGACTGCACACTGAAGGAGACGGATCTACTGCAGTCCAGAGGTAAACACACACACACACACACACACACACACACACACACACACACACACACACACACAC